GTCTTCATGTGGCCGCGCGGAGAGTTGGTCATTTGCTGCTGGCTGTGTTGTGCCGCGTGCTGAGGCATCTGCTGCTGCTGCTGCGACATCATCATGTTGGTCTGCGAGGACATGGGCTGGTGCGTCTGGGCAGCGTGCTGCGCGTACGGCGACTGTTGAGGTTGCGCCTGCATGGACGGGTAGTGCGCTTGCTGGGTCTGGTAGTACATGTGCTGCTGGAGAGGCTGAGACGGCGGCTGGCCGTAGATGCTGCGGTGCTGGTCATGTTGGGAGGGCGATGCTACCGACGCAGGCGAGTTCGACTGAGGCGTGTGGTATGACATAGGAGGGTAAGGTGGTCTCGGCATTTGAGCGGCGGCCATCATGTCGGATTGGTCTAGATGTGAATGTTAGTGAATGTTGTTGTGAAGCTGTCAAGACGCGTCGTTTTCGTCGTCACGTCTCGGTATTGGTAGAACTCACCAGCGGAAGTGTATCCGCTTGTCGCGCCTGGGGTGCTGTATGGGCTCGGGTGCGCGTAATAAGGTAGGCCGTCCTGGGAGTGCTGGGCGTTGGAAGCCTGGCTCGTCTGCTGGTAGGCGGGGGCGATGGGATGGCCGGACGCGTACGAAGGATGCTGTTGCGACTGAGCCTGCGGGTGGTGCTGCTGATGAACGATGCTCGAGGGTCGAGGATGTTGCTGGTGCTGCAGGTGCTGAGTAGGTGCTGGACCCTGGGGCTGATGGTGGGGGTGATGCTGCATAGAGAAAAGACCCATTAGTCCCTCATCCACGAACGCTTCGACGTATTAAGTTGACTGGTAGCAGCAAGAAGAAAACAAAGAAAGCAGGGCGCGTCTGTATTTTTATTTTTTGCTCCTTGACACTGTCAGGGGCCTGGGGGCATGGCACCCAAGTGGTGTTCATCCCCTGGATGTCTACGAGGATCGCGCGGGTGAGGCGTGCTAGACCCAGTTTGGGACCCCTTTCTGATATAAAGTGGACATTTCGGGCTCCAGGAAATGGTCGCGTACTACAGCGCCAGATCGGAGAAGCGAAAACATAGGGTAGCGGTATTGCGGTATTGGAAGGCAGTGGGGATTGATGCTTTACCCCTGAATAATCAAGCCAGCTTCGGTTAAAGAGACGACGCGGCGAGGATACTCGGAAGCGGAACCCGAAGTTTCGAGACGCAATAGACCTGGCTGGCTACCGGCAGGTACTGCAGTTTCTGGCGCGACCAGACAGGACAGGAACGAAAAGAGACGAAAGGTGCGGTGCAATGAGATGACAAGGGAGCATGAAGGAGGAGAGATGGCGATCGGAGCGAGGGTGCAGCAGAAGATGGCTCTGGTCGGGGGGAATGGGCGAGTGAGGAGGCAGGAGAGGAACAGGGTAGGTATTTGAACATTGGAGCAAGGTAGGATTTGGAGTGGACATATGATGGGGAATGATGAGTGCGTATGGTATATGGCAAAGGCAGAGACAGGAGGCGCGTTTTGGGAACTGTTCTCTCACTCGAGATACGGGATGCCAGACCAGACAGGTCAGGGGGGCGCGGACGCAGTGGAGCTGGAAGCCCTGCTGGACGTTCGGGGTAGAATGAGGTGCAATGTAAGGTAATACAAGGGGCGATATAACGGTACGGTACCTTAGGCTAGGCGATGCGATGCGAAGCGAGGGGACGAGGAGATATCGACGGTGAGGGCGATGTTAACTCGACGGCAATGCCCATGCAACGCGCTACGCTACCACAGCCGTGGGGCAAATTGGAGGCGAGACGACGAGGGCATACGGATGTACACCTCGCCGACCGATTTGTGTGTATGGTGACGAGCTTCGAGGAGGAAACGCAGAGAACCAAGAAACCGCAAAGATGGAATGAGGAGTTATTCGCAGATTGCCAGCCCGGCAGAAGAGGAATATGGATGAATGGTTGAGAGAAGGATCCAGGAGAGAAAAAAAGGTTGTTAGGGTTAAGAACGTGCGCGCTCGCGTTGGTTGACTTGTGTACGAAGCAGACAGAACCGCAGACAAAATGCAGCAGAAGTATAAGCAGGAAACAAGGCAAGCAGCAAGCAACAAGAACAGCGGCAAATAGCAGAGAGCACGCAGATGCAACTACCTTCGAGTTCAGAGTCGTGAAAGGTTGCGAACGCACCTGTGACCTTGGGCAGACGACGACGACGACGGCGGCGACAACAGCAGCAGCAAATGCAAAAGCTGAAGTAGAGGCAGAGAGCTTCTCGATGCTTTTCTTGCTGCAACTCGCAGAGGCATGGAAGAAAAAGGGAACAACAGGGGATATAACGACCGGGGAGGCGTGGACATGGGCGTGGGATTGGGACTGAAGGTGGGAGTGGGCGTTGACATTGGCGGGAGCGGGAAGACAGACAACGTCCAAGCCTTCTCCCACTCCCCTCGTCCACCACCCACTTTCTCGCGCGGCTTCTGCTGCTGCTTCTGCGTCCTTTCCTCTCCTCGTCTAAATCAGAGGGGAGGGGAGACAGCCCTAGAGGGGTTGGGGGGTGCAAACAGCAAGCCTCGCGGTGGAGATGTGAGGAAAGTGCTGTGGATGCTGTGTGCTGTGCGGTGTGGACAGGGGTGTGTGTGGACACGGTGGTGGGCAGTGAAAAAAAAAAAGATAAAAGCAAAAAAAAGAAAAGAAAAAAAGAGGAAAAGAGGGTGTGTGGGACAGCGCATGGGAGAAACGTGACAGGGGTCTCCTGCATTGTACCGCAGTAGATTAAATGACCAATGGCGGCACCAACTTGCAGGGCCGAGCTGGAGCAGCTGCCCAATCAGGCAGCCCTCGTCCGGGGCTAGCCAGCGGACAAGGATATTACCGGGATGCCGCCCGGTGTCCTCTCATCCAAGACCACTGAGTCTGGAGTCTTGAGTCTTGTCCTGACTCCTCAGGCCAAGTCCCAGTCACCCCGAGTCCTCACTTCGCTTCTCAGCCACCAACCACCCCCCAAAAAAGCTTTGCACTCCAATTCCCGACTCCCTGCCCCCCACCACACCTCATCTGGGCCCTGCACCGGCCTGGCCACTCACTTGACTTGTTTGGCTCAAGGCGGTGTGGTTACCCATGGGTGAGGCAGAGAGGGTAGATGGGTAGACGACGTGGGAGAGAACAGAACGAACTGTGACAACTGATCTGAGCTGCGGCGTCGTGCCTGGATGGGAAGATAGCTCCATCCAGGTCTCAACTGATCCTGGCTGCTTGGGACATCAGCCCCGCGCTGCCGCTTGTAAGGCCCCATGTCGCTTGATGCGATGCTGGGTCTTGTCCTGGCTGCTCATGCCTGGCCTGCTCGCCGCGCTGCGCATTGGAGTTTGCCCTTCTGCCGTCCTGGCTCTGCACTTGAGACCTTGCCGCTGACCCATGTATCACCCACGTCCCAGGAACAACCAGGAACCCGGGCTACCCTCAGCCAGCAATGCGGGATTGCCGTACTGAGTACGTCCTCAGACGGCCGCTAGACCAGCTGCTGGAATGTCGCCGGTACGCCTTTTCCTGGTAGCCCTCAGAGATGATGGGGTCGTTGACTCCTCACGACAAGCGCTAGCCATGTCACCCTCGCCGCCGTTGCTCTAGGTGGGAACAATGGCAACAAACGTGCAGGACAGGCTTCTCCTCATCTTCATCTGGAGCTTGTCCACCGTCTTGTTTGGATCAACGTGACTTGCTCTTTGCCTCTTTTCCGCCGCGCCTCCCATCGCCATTGCTAGCAGTGGTTCTCGCCGATGCGATCGATGAGCAGACTGGGCCCTCGTAGATGTTCTCCCCCCGACAGCCGATTCCGAATCATAACGGCAAACGAAGCAGAGATGGATGCGCCGGCTGGGGCTTCGCTCGCGCAGTCACCATGATTGGAGAAGCTGTTGCCAGCCCCACCACAAGCTGCACCGCGGAGCAGAAAGCCACCCCACCACAACGCCTCCAGATCTCCACAATCGTCACCTCATCTTCATCTTGCTTTGCCAGGACATGCCAGCGAAAGGTACACTACCTCCGGTGGTTTTTGAGCTCATCAGAGCTTGCTCTGCTTCAGCCGATTCCTTTCGGCTAGCTGGCCTCTCTGCCCTTTCTTTCTTTTTTGTTCCCTCCTCATCTGACGTGGACATGAGAGAAATCTTTGGGGCTTGCATGCCATGTCCCTCTGCCGCTCATGACGAGTACGAGGGGTAAAGGCAAGCCCAACCTCACCGAGGCTAAAAGCTGAAAGGTTGGTACCCGTTGTACTCGAGACAGCACTAGGCAACATAGGCAGGCCCGGGTAGCCGTTGGCCGCCGTTTGGCCCTGCGTGTACCTCATTTCCAGCGGACCAGCCACCACTTGGCTTCGCGCATGCGCCAGCTTCTCCCAGCTCCGTCCACCAGGAACGAGGAACAGCCTCCGTACGGAGGCTGTTAGTCGCTGTGGCTCAAGGGGATAAGGGGGAAAAGCAAGCAGGCAGGCAAGCAAACATTGCTGCGTTGTGCGAGGGCCCCCGTAGGCAGCTCCGGAGACCTGACTGCGATCCCTCGCACTCCCAGCAGAACCGCGAGCGTGTCTCTGGAGCTTCCCAAGGTTCAACCAGCCCCCCGGAGCTTAACTTGGTTGGGTAGCACTCACCCTTCCTTGCCCTGCCCTGCCCAACCCTGGTCTGGCTTGCTTGCTGCCCACCACCTTTCTCCCCTTTGCCCGCCCTTCTCCAATTGCCCCCCCAACTTTGGAAAGGGTCAAAAGGGAATGGCGCTGTGGCACGCTAGTCGGAAGGGCCCACTCATGCAATGAAGCCTGCGACAGCCCCGGTCATTGGTGAAACAGGAGCTACCCTGCCAATCTCACAGACTTTGGGTCCTGACCTGGTCAAGCTTGCGACGGCGTTGCGATCTTCTGGAAGCGACGGAAATCCCAGAACGCTCTCATGTTCTCGATGCCAGCAATGCGTGTCGCTCAAACCCTATCCTTGTTTGACCTGTTCTTCAACTCCCGCTTGAGAGCTTTGGGCGAGGTCCGTGTTTGCCGCCTGTCACGACTCGCCGTCACAGCAGATAGCCGAGTGACGAGTCTTCAGACAACTTAGACCGGTGTGCGGTCAAGCTGAAGCAGACAACCTTATGCACCCCAACGAGCTCGAGTAATTGACAAGAAAAACAAACGACAAAGGCAGGAACCACAGAAGGAATACATAATCACGTCGCCATGCAGCGACGCAAGGGGATATCTGGGAGGACAACAAGAGAAGGGGAAAGGAACTTACATTATCCGGCTCCTGCTTGTAGCCTCCGGAGGGCTGCCTGTTCTGCGCCATGGCTCTGACAGTCATGAGTTGATATCGAGGGGGTTTCTGTGCGCCTTCGTTAGCATCTGTCATCTGTAACTAGTGAACCTTGAACCAGGTCGTCCTAGGCGTCCCTGGGCTCTAGCCTGACTCCAACCATCCCAACGGGGATGTTCGATGTCCAGTGCCAGCAAACCTGGCGTGATATGGGATCGCCGCGAGGCGATGGTCATCCTGATGCCTAACAGCGCAGCATTCCCCGCACCACTTGTGTCAAGGTTTTCCCCATCAACTCAGTTGGTGTCCAGACGCGCACCATGTAGATGCGGAGGCAGGCATAGCCGAAGGCAAGCAAAATGGCTGGGAGAGCGGCTGGTTGTATTGTGCAGGCTGGGAAGGAGCTTGCTATGATGCTCACCTTGTTGGGAGGATTCGGTTCAGGCGTCTCGATGGATGCGTTGAATGAACTTCAGTTCGTGCAGATGTCAGGAAGCAAGAATTAACCCGTGATCTTGGGCAGGTATGTCCGATGTTGGAGACGGTGTGAAACAAAGATATCCCAGCTCGCTACAAATCGACTCAAGTCAGCATCTTAAGTGTTTTGTTTTCCGAACTTTGATCGGAGCAAATTCATGCGACCGCGACCAGAACACGCGACCGGGTTCCGACAGTGAGCCCCAGAAAAATAACACCCTTGACGGCAATCACACAAGGAAAGAGGCCCAAGAGGGGATGCGTTGAGTCGTGCAGACAGTCTTCATGCGCAGACTGCAACATGGGACGTTACCGAAATTGAAACGACGACGCGCTTGGGCGTCGAAGAAGCCCTATGTGGGCAGGCGCCGAACAACCAGGCCTTCAGATGATGCATCTTGAAATGTAATAATTTCGGACCCCCATCGGAATACGACAGAAATTGGACTGGAGCTGCCGCGCGCTAGGGAACAAGAGCGAGAAGGAGAAAAAAAAAATGATGACAGATAGAGAGGACGAAGACGGAGATTAGGGACGAAAAGCACGTACCTTGGGGAGTTAGGACGAGGCGTGTTAGATACGCGTCGACAGTTCCTTGTCGCCAGTAACGATGCAAGTATATCTGCGCAAGGCTGGTTGACCGTGGTCTTGGGTGGGTTTGATTCTGCAGCGTTTGCTTGTTGCAGGACGTGTGTATGGACGTGGGCGCGTTGTGCAGGGGGAGGGAAACCCAGCGATGCACGGAATTGAGGCTTGCGGCTTGGGTCAAGGAAGCTGGTAAGGAAGCTGTGGAAGGCGACGATTCTTCTGGCTTGAAGGGCGCTGCCGTAGCGTGGTGTAGTGCAAGGTCTTAGTGCTCTTGGAACCCTAGGCACTGGACTGGTTGATCCTGTTTAGGTAGGGTGCTGTGTGACGGTCTACCAATTCTCCGGGGACGGACCAGGGAGCTTGTCGAACGTTGTTCGCCGGGGCCGTGCGGACAAACCTGGGATGCGTCTGCAGGCTTTCTGTGTCCCGCTCACTGTGAGGTAGCCACGGGTTGAGCTGGGGGACCTGACCTGTGGTCTTGTCTGTGTTCCGAATTAGTTCATGCAGGCCAGCCTTGCCACGGGTAATCGCAAGAACGTCTGGTCTCGCAAGGGGAACCAGAAAGTACATCTGTCAAGCGGCTGGGGATGCGGCTTGAGACTGGGAACGCATACTTGGAGTGGACGGGCCTGTTCCTGAGCAGGGGTTGTCGTGCTGAAGAGTGGCACAAATGGATTTATGACGCAATGCAGACCCTGGATGAATAAGAAAAAGGTATGTTAGGAGACGCGGACGCTGCTGGGAACGAGGGAAGATATGGTGAGGGAGAGGAGAGATAGGAGAGAATGCCGGATATTTAGGCAGAGCCAGGGAGACTGAAGTGATTGGCAATGGGCCTCCAATAAGACCAGGGGGGGAAGAAGAAAGGAAAGGGAAGGGGATTAAAAAAAAAAAAAAATCAGGTAGGATGACCGATAACGCCAACTCCCAAGCAGACGACGTTCCTTCAGCGAACCACTCGGCACATTTATTAAGGAGAAGCTGGGGTGTGATGGGCTGCCCCCAAGGGACGTCCATTGGACGATACAGAGGAACCCAAGAGAATTGTGGGAAGCGAAATCCCGGCTAAATATTGGGTGGGTAGCTGTTAGGGGAGCCTGCAAGAGAGGTGTGGACGGAACGGTCCCCCGGCTTGAGAATTGCCCAAGAAAATGCTAAAATAGCAGTGGTTGAAAGAGGATGTGCGTGATGTGCAAAAGTCTAGACTGAAGGCCATCTTCACCGCTTGCAGTTGTTCGTGGAGTTGAGTGGTAATAAACACCCACAATGTGCCCAAGGGCGGCCAGGGAAAACGGGGGAACGGCGGGGCCAGATATGCCGCCAGGGGGTAAAGTGAAGGGGAAGTGACAGATGTTCGGTCCTCCAAAGAAGGTGTGGCTGACTTACCGGTGAGATTCCGTGAGAATAAGCTTCGTCGACAGCTTGAGATGGAGTTTGGCAGGCCACTATCTTGAGGGTCTAAGATAGCTTCAGCGTTGATACCGCCTGGGGAAGACCGTAAGCCCTTGTGGCTTGTAAGGTAAAGAAGCTGCTAACACAGGGGCGGCTTGAGATAGCCTGGTGGACCGGTACCTGTCAAAGAATCGCCAACCGTTAGCAAACAGTCGAACCCTTGTCCGCGTACAATACCCTGAACAAACACCCTGGGAGGAGTGAGAGCAGGGGGGGCGACACCAACCTCAGGGACCACGAAGACCACGAGGACGAGGGTGCTCAGACGTTATGGAGTTGGATCGCGTTGCCGCTTTCCAGTCCAATTGACGCGACGACGTTGATTTGTATGCGCGCAGTAGGACGTACGTTGTACAATGTGCTGTACCAGGTGTCGCAGCTTCAATGGACCAACCTGCGAACATCGGGCAGAGAAAGGCGTGCTGATTGGATGCGATACGCGCTGTGCGATGTAGAGCAGAATATCTTCACGAACTCGCAGCCGTCTGCCGCGGTGTGGCGATGTCTTTAACTGATCCAATTGCTATATCTGGGAGACGGCCCGGGCTGCTGGAACGCCCGTGGTAGTACGGATACTGCGCAGGCCCTGCAAGGTAAGGTAGGTCGGGTGTGAGGTGTGAGAGAGAGTGTGTGTGTGTGCGCGTGTTTCTGTAAGTCGGTTCGCTGTGACGCTAAGCAAGTCAGGGACTGCCCTGGCCCTACAGCCGGTAGGTCGCGCGAAGAAGCCAGAGGCACACTGTTCGAGAACGCCCCCAGCAGATTGGATGGGATGAGATGCTGTAGAATTTGGGTCGGCGACACAGCGATGCGCAGGGATGATCGTGGACGGGCTCGGTTTGATCTTTCTGTCGCGCAACGGTCAAAATTAGCACCATTTGAACGAACGCTAGGTAGAAAGCCCCAACAAGCGTCATGACACGAGGAGGGTTGCAAGCCACGTTATTTAGACAACGACACTGGGGATGGCGCAAGACAGCAAGCGTGTGCGGATATCTGCTAGTGGAGGTCTCGCCTCGGACGAGATAAAAGACATGACATGGGACGTGAGATGCTCCTGGGTTGCGCCTATAGCCTTCAGTTTGCACCCACTTAAGGGCTGCGGATGCCCACTTCGATCTGCCAACGTATCGCAAGTTTTGCAATGCCCACCAGCCAGCCGGCGGGCGGGTAGATTGGCAGCGATTCGAACGAATATCTCATGGGAAATGGCGTGGGTGGCGCGTGTTGACTCAGGTCAAGCATCAGGGAAGAAGGTGGTTGGGTGCGATTGGGGGGAGGTAATGACATCCGGGGTTGAGAAGGTGACGGGCCCGTCTGGAGCTGCGACATGCGAGAGAAACAGCGACTCACATTGGAAAAAATGGTCAGGGCGGACCTGATGACCGGTTCCTGAATCGCAGCTCGGCTTCAAGGTGCACTGAATTAGGAGTGTTTCAGTAAAGGGTGACAGGCACTCGGCTGATCTTCCTGTTGTTTCGCGTCGAGACTTCGCGGGCGGGAAGAAAAAGAACGGATCGTTCCAGGGCGCGTTGTCCCAGCTTGGATCGATATTGTGGTGGTGGATGTCAGATATGCGACAGGAAAGTGCTCTGTATGACGAGTCGAAGGCGAGGCCCCGTCTGCCGGCGCGAGAGAGAGAAAAAAAACCTTGCACGGTGACTTTTACTTTTGTTGCGTCTAGCGGATGCTTCAAACTGAAGATTGCCGCGATAAGCGAAATGCGGGCGCACAGAATCAACGGGGAGTCGCTGCTGTTTCTGAAGACTGAATACAGCGTTAGACTTTCCAAATGGGCGTCGTTGAATTTGAAGTTGAAGTCCAAGTCCAAATCGAGGCGATGTTGAGTTGCTGCAGGGAATGAACGGGGGGTGGACGGGAAGGCAGGGCAAGGAAGGCGAAGACAAGACCAGGCAAGGCAGGCAAAGGCAAGGGCGACTGATCGTGGCTGGCCAGGGGGTTTGGAAGTCACGATGGAGCTGGAACACGCCCACTAAGGTGCACATGGGACACGTGCTTGCCGACCGGGGCTCGGCTGAGGTAGGCAGGACGTGGACGGGAGGCAAGAATGGAACCAGCAGGACCTCACCTCTTTCCCGGACCGTTGGCTTGGCTTTCCATAAGTCAAGAACGAACGTCAGATGAATGCTCATAAGGCAGGTAAGGTAAGGTAGGTACGGGAAAGAACGATTGGGCTTTGACTTTGGTGTTGCGCCTCAGTCCAGCAGGTCAACCTGCCATGATCACCCAGCGTGCGAGTCCAGTGACGTCCTCTCCCTCCTCCGCCAGCCCAGAGCCCAGAGGTACTCGTACGAGACACACGGTATGCACATTCCACGGCTTTCACGAGCAGGCTTGTTCGCTTCTAGATGGCGTCATGGCCATTTGTTCTGCACCATCAAAACCACAAGTGACTATCCAAAGTTGCAACGGCCGACGGTCCCCTCAAGCGGTGCGGTGCGGCGCGGGAAGCAAGGATGACGGCACCGTCAAAACTGGGCAGTAGTGCATCGTCCGCAGTCTAGTCTGAAGGAACGGGCCCGGGTGGCAGCCTCAGGGATACCTGATTGATGACAGGTGAAGAAGCCCTCAGGAACCAGAACCAGATCATCCTGAAGCTTCTGCGCCTGGGGCCGCGGCACATGCGGAGAAAGACACACAGAGAGACGGCTCCTGCCAGTGTGTCTGGGATGCTACTAGGTCCACGGTCATTTCATTCCACAAGCCATCCGTACCGGTGTCCAGCGACCTGGTCTCCCGGCCCTGGCACGAGGTGCGAGCCAGTCGGGAAGTTCAGGGGCTGCGCTGCTCGTACGGGGGTTCAGGTGGTGGAGTGAGAGCTACTGGGAAACGTGCCTAGGTACGGGGGGGGCGGACGGCGAAGGGTGTCGGCGAGGACCAGGGCCAGAGGCAGCCTACCTTATTCTGCTAGACGAGTCTGGTTAGTCCAGTCGAATAAACGGCAGCTCTCCCACGGTTCTGGTGCAGACCTTGTCAACGGTGTCTGTACCTTTTTGGGGCTTGTTGGGTTGCTAGATGCTGGATGCTGGACGCCGGCCGCCGCCGTAAGGACCACGTTGGAAACCGTACTCTGTACCCTGCATAGCTTATTATTCAGATTAAGGCACGGGGATGCCTGGAGCATCCCTTCCTGCGGATATGCATGCAGCGAGGAGCACCGCAATCGCGACCAAGTACGTACGAATATGTCATCGCCCTGACATATACGCTCGAGTCTGAGGCTGCAGTCACGACTCGAAGCCTCCTTACATCGGTGAGGACAGCGCTCGGTCTTTGACTTTGTGCTAGCGTTTTTCCGAACCAACCAAAAGAATGGGACGAGCTAAATACCCTTTTTGGTCTTTTTTCTTTCTTTCCCTCAAAGCAAAGTACCTACCTCTGGTGACCCGCTGGCTGATGACCGGTGGGTTCCGGCAACAAGGATTGGGTCTCGGTGCATGTCCAACGGTTCGTGAGCCGGTTCGAGAAGTGACAGGAGACGGCGGGGCAGGCCAAGGCATCTAGTGTATGAAGTACACCCAAGTTGTCGTAGCTCGCCAGTGGAAAGTCGAAGACCCAGGTAATTTAGTCTTCATATCCAGAGGGGGGCAAACTCCAACCGGCTGGTCTTGGTGGCTTTTTCTGACTGGCGGTAGCAGGCATGGCTCGCACGCCGCGCTGGAGCTTGCTTCTAAGCGACCGGCTAGTCCTGCCTTAGCGACGGAATTCGCCGTCGTGGGCAGAAAATATTGGCAACAGTTCTGCCATGCTTTGCATGCCTATGCGGCGGCGTATGCGCGTTATCAGCTTGTTCTGGTTGGCGACGGCACATTCAGATACCTCATGGTATCCCAAGTTGTTAAGGCTTTTGGTCTGAAAGAAATACCACAGAGCCACTTTAAAAGAGTAAAAACTTTGAGGCCAGAACCCAGCGGGATATAGCCAACAGTCCTCGTGCGGAGCTGATCTTGGGACCACGTTACGCCATCGATAGCACTGAAGCATTGAGCACAGCGCATCCGTCGTCAGATTATGCAAGCGTACTGGATGCCCATCGCGCTGCCGACTGTCGTGTCGACCGGAAAGCAGCAAGGCAGTCCAAGCACTTGCCTTGGATAGAGTGCACTCTGTGTGCTGTCGGCTGTGCTCTGAATCCGGCCAAAATCTGCTTCTCGAAGCTGTGGGCGAGTCGTGGGACGCGGAAATGGTTGCATATTGGGTAAGGAGCGGCTAACACGTCCACCCACGTAGGGGGCCATTATCAAACGGGACATGTTCCCCGTCCGCAATGTAGGCCGATCGTCCATGGGCTCAACTCCAGACCGCCGGCGAGATTGGACATACGCAATGCTGGCTGCCATTTGATTCTGAGCCATGCCGTTGACGGAACTTAATCACCGCCATGCAGCTGCAGCTCGTGCCGCTGCTAGACAGTTCTGGAGCTAGTAAACTATGTCGTCGAGACGTCAAGAAAGCCAAAGCCGTCTGCGCTTTTTTTTTTTTTTTTTTTTTTTTTTCTTCCCCTACCGCCGCGGCGCCGGCGTTGTTGCCGTTTGACACGGCCATTCTGCATCGGGCAAAGTTCTGAGAGAGGCGCGTCTTGGGGCTAGGGGCCAGAGTACATCGGCACTCGTGTGTCCCTCTCGCAACGCAGTCAGGTTTCGATGGCAGGCGTCCTGCCGGGCTGGAGACGCAGACGTCCCGAGGCGAAGGTGGGCGTGGCGCCGGTAACAAAGACAATCTCCAGCCACTGGCAGCCAGCACGCCTTGCATTGGACAACGCGGTGGAGGGAGTTGGAAGCGTTCCAAGTCCCGTTGTGATTGATTCAGACTAGGCTATGGCGATAGCGATGATGTGATGGGCTGCATGTGCTTCATGATGAGTACAGTGTACGCCCTCAATCGAGTACGAACACCGCCCCAGTACAACAGTGCGTATTGGTTGAGGGCTCGTAATCAAAGTGCCTTGGTGTGAATGTTGGTTGCATCCAGACGGACTTTGATGCGCCTCTTCTTGCCGTCCATCTGGGAGTTGGTTCAACCAAACCCAATGAACTGCCCAAAAACTTTGCCTGCTGCGCCATCTCGTTGTTCCTGGAGCTATTTTTAATCCTCCCGAGTCGTGGCGTCCAGCCAGGCTGTTGGTTCTACCACCCACGCCAACCCATCAGCCAACGTCGTTTCTGCTCTCGTCTCCCTGGGACCGGCAGGAGGAGACGGACTCTTTTTTTCCCGGCCTCCCTTCGTATCGCCGTGGCATACGGGGCCCAAAGCAGCAGAAAAAGCAACACATCCGAACTATCCAGTTGTCGCAGACGTGCCGCGTCGCGGAAGTCGTCCGGTCAAGCACGAGGAAACCCGGATGGCGTAGATGCAAAGAGGGAGGGACGGGATGACAAAAGGCGCG